GTGAGTTGTAAATAATTCTCATGTGAGATTCATAATGATAAGGGGGGTCAACCTCTCCAATGGTTGTTGCTTTGAGGTTTTGGGGGAGCCGCAATAATAGTCACCTTTGTCGAACAAGTGCTCAAGGCATTTTCCCGCACAGCTCTTATCGCCCCTGCCTGTTTGAACTGCGATCTGCCATGGCAGCCGAACTGAAGGCTGAGATTGAGGCCAGGGTTGAAGAAAGGAGGCAATTGGCAACTAGTGAGCTGCTATATTTAGAAAGGGATACTGTATATAAATTAACGATCTTGAATGTCGTTTATCATATTTGTTTTATGGCATGACAGAATCACACCTGATTGAGGCACTGGTCGCAAAGATCTCTGACAAGGCAGCAGGCCAATCAGCTCTTGAAGGCTTGGCCAAGATTGCAGAGGAGAAAGGCCGGCCAGCCGAGCCTTTCTTGGTGTCCGCCTTCCCAAAGATCCTGGAGGCCTCCAATGATAAGTCCAAGAACGTCAAGGATGCGGCGGTGGCCACCAGCAAGACCATCATGGGTGTGGTCTCACCCTTTGCGGTGGAGATGCTGCTGCCAGCCTTCCTGAACGGCTTGGCGGTGAAGGCCAAACCACCCCAGAAAGAGGCCACTTTGCAGATTATCTCTGCCTTGGCTCAGAAGGCACCCAGGGCGGTTGGCTACTTGCTGGTGAACTTGGTGAGCCCCGTAGCGGATCTCACTTGTGACATCAAGAAGGAAGTGAAGCAAGCAGCCTTGGAATGCATGACCTCAATTTGCAACTGCACCGGCAATAAGGACAGCTTTGTGTTGGGTACATCCAGACAACTTCCATAATGTTTGTAGATGACACATAGTGTCAAAGAAGCTGTATATACATACTCGTAATGTAATATATATATATATATATTATATATATATATATTGAAAATCCTTTTAGGATTTGGATTAGGGTCAGCGGTTGTTGGAGGCATGTTGGGATGTCGGGACTATGACAGGACTTGGAGCCTTTCCTTCCTGCTGTGGTGGATGCCGCTTCCTCCATCGACAAGACGCACAGCTGTGTGGAGAAGTTGGCAGGATGCATCTTCGTGCAGAACGTGGAGGCGCCCGCTTTGGCAGTCACCATGCCAGTGCTCACACGAGGCTTGAACGACAAGAACGAGGAGGTGAAGCGCACCTGCTGTCAGATCGTCGACAACATGTGCAAGTTGGTGGAAGATCCTGCAGAGGTGCTGCCCTTGATGCCCAAGCTGGAGCCTTTGGTGAAGAATGTGTGCGAGAAGATTTCTGACCCCGAAGCCCGAGGAGTGGCAGAGAAGGCCTACAAGACCTTGCAGAAGGCGGCTGGAGAAGGAGCTGAATCCATCCAATTGGTCTCAATGGAGGCTGCCAAGAAGCAAGTCCAAGATGCCCTGGGTGACAAGAAGGGCTCAGGAGAAGTCTATGAGGCTGAGCTGAGCCACGTGTCGGCCCTGGCAGCTTGTGCTGCAAACATGCGGGTCTTCGATGACAGTGCTTGGAAGAAGGATGTGGGATACTTGGCACCCTTTGATAGTGTCACTGAGCAGCTTCGTGCGAAGATGGAGGTGGCTGCCAAGCCCAAGGAGGAAGTCGAAGAGGAAGACACCGAGGGTGTAGACCTCTACAAGGGTGCTTTCTCTTTGGCGTATGGAACTTTGACACTGCTGCGGGATGCCAAGATGCACCTGAAGAGGAATCGCTTCTATGGTCTCCTGGGTCCCAACCAGTGCGGCAAGACCACACTCATGCGTGCCATCGCCAATGAACAGTTGGAGGGCTTCCCAAAGCGAGATGAGCTGAAGAGCGTCTTTGTCGAGCATGAGATCGAGGATGAGGAAGTGGGTGTGCAGGACGATGGTTTCCCCATCCTCTCAGTGGACAAGCCGGGCTGGTGGTGGGTGGTTCACACCTGCAACGACGTCTACAAGCTGGAGCCTCCCGTGAAGGAAGACACTGTGAAGGAGCTCATGAAGTCCATTGGTTTCGGCTACCCAGGCGGCCCAGATCGTGCTGCCAACTTGGAGCTGCCTGTGACCTCCTACTCAGGTGGCTGGAAGATGAAAATGCAGCTGTGCGCTGCTCAGCTGATGAATGCAGATGTCTTGATGTTGGATGAGCCCACTGGTCACTTGGATGTCGACAACATCAAGTGGTTGGAAGATTGGTTGGAGTCCTTCTCTGGTTCCATCATTTGCACTTCTCACTTCAGTCCCTTCCTGGACAAGATGTGCACGCACATCATCGATTTCCAGGACAGAAAGCTCAAGACCTTCAAGGGGGTGAAAGGAACTTGCTTGACTCAGTTCGTGGAGAAGTACCCTGAGAAGAAGGCCTACTTCGAGATCAGCAATGAGACCATGAAGTTCGTATTCCCCGAGCCCGGGCCTTTGGAAGGTGTCAAGAGCCGCAGTAAGGTCATCCTCCGCATGAACAATGTGAGCTTCACATACCCCACCAAGGACAGGGTTGCTCCCATTGAAGGCCAATGAACAGCCAGAGGGAAATTTCGGAAAACACAACATCTGTAGCCATGATTTTCCCAATGGCACCCCTCCCGGCACCCTCCTGCACACCATGATCTCAGGGTCCCCACCAAGGAGAAGCCGACCATCATGGACGTAAGCCTCACCGTCTCACAGGTGAGCCGCGTGGCAGTGATCGGCGCCAACGGCGCGGGGAAGTCCACTGCCATTAAGGTCTTGGTGGGAGAGCAGCTGCCCACGGAAGGCCCCAGGGCCCCGAACAAACGGACCACGCTACGCATCATGTTTGTTCAAAGAACATTTATACAATAAAAGAAAAAACCATGAAGAAAAACATATATATATATATATCTTCCGACCAAGCTTCAGTTATTTGGTTGGAAGCGTCTGGTATTTTTTGTTTTTGTCCTCTTCTGTTCTTCAGTCTGTTGGACCAGACCTCAAGGCTCCATTTGGAAAGCACAGGGCCTGCGACTGGCTTACGTGGCTCAACACGCTTTCCACCACTTGGAGAAGCACATGCAGGAGACTCCAACTGCACCTCGGCCAAACAACAGACCGAACCTGTTACTGTACTGTTTCCCCACCTGTCAGGTGAGGGTTGTTAAATTTTAGAAAAGGATCCCGCGACTCCTCCTTCTCCTTCTTCGTCTTCTCCTTTTCCTCCTCCTCACCTCACAACAGAAAGCGCCAGATCACAAAAAGCTCCAGATCGCAGTGGGCACTCGGACGTCAACAGCAATCGCCAGATCACAGTGGACACTCCCGCATCTCAACGGCAAGCAGCAAGCTCCAGATCGCACACTCCCGGACCTCCATCGCTTGACTTACACAAGCCAGACTTGATGCCAGAGCCAGCGTCAGAACATTGTGCCAATCTCCATGTCCACCTTTTTCACGCTAGTCTGTCAATAGATGTGCCCAGCCTTCTTCCAAATCGCCTTTCAGCGTGGGGGTCGAGAGTGCAAGCTGCAACCGTGACTTGCTTGCAAAACAAACTTTTGAGCCGGGCTTGGTGTTGTGATGTTGGTTGCTATTTGGCCGACACTCTCGGATTCACTGCAGGCATACATCATGTGGCGCTTTGCGGGCAACGATGACCGTGAATCCTTGGAGTTCAAAACCGATGAGCTCTCGGTGGATGAAGAGAAGGCTCGTTCCCAGAAGTGGTGCATCGACAGCGTCACTGGGAACGTGCGACGCTGCACTGATCCCAAGGAAGATGCCAAGAAGGCAAAGCAAGATGAGGCTGGGGCCGTCATTCCCGATGCCATTGTGAACAGGCGCCAGAAGAAGAAGGAGAAGACCTTTGAGTACGAGGTGAAGTGGCAGTTCAAGAGCATGGATCAGAACGTTTGGGTCGAGAAAGACATCCTGGTGAAGATGGGCTACCTCAAGTTGGTGCAACGAGAAGATGAGCGACAGGCGGCCATGGCTGGTTTGATGACCAAGCAGTTGACCCAGCCTGGCGTCGAGAAGCACCTGGCGGACTTTGGAGTGGATGCTGAGAGCGCCTCCCACACTCAGATCAACCAGCTTTCAGGTGGCATGAAGGTGAAGGTGGTGTTGGCTGCGGCCATGTGGCAAAACCCCCACGTCTTGATCTTGGATGAGCCCACCAACTACTTGGACCGTGAGGGTTTGGGAGCCTTGGTCTTGGCCATCAAGGACTACAAGGGTGGTGTGCTGATCATCTCCCACAACAAGGAGTTCTGCGACAACGTGGCCACTGAGAAGTGGATCATGCAAGGTGGGCGCTTGCGCATTGAAGGTGAGTCTGTGGACACTTCCAAGGATGATGGCAGTGCAGCTCAAGGACCGGATGAAGTCTTTGATGGAGCGGGCAACAAGATTGAGGTGAAGAAGAGCATGACCATGACCGAGAAGGACAAGAAGAAGGCCATCAAGGACATCGAGAAGAAGATCAAGGATGGCAAAAAGAAGCAGACCTTGACTGATGAAGAGGTTTGGGAGTTGGAGGACAAGCTCAACGAGCTGAAGGAAAGCCTGAAGGGCAAGGAGTGAGTGCAGTGAGAACTTTCTCTCTAGCCGC